CCCCCCCCCTCCCCCTCTCTCTCTCTCTCTCTGCTGGTACCAGATACTGGCCGTGTAAAGGTATTGCCTTGACAGTCCTAGTGTCTGGCCTCCGCCTCTCTCCTCAGGTAAGTCCCAGTGTCTGGCCTCCGCCTCTCTCCGACTACAGCCTCCACGCTCGCTACCTCCAACCTACCACTACTGCGCCCAGCGCTGAAGACTAACACAGCATAACGCTGAGTACTCACTCACACTAACCTACGGAGTGAGAGGCAGACCAGTCTATAAATACTGCTGGTCTGGCCTCTCGTAGATCCTACTGGCCTAAACGTGAGGCCCAGAATGAATGGCCTGGGAAACAATCTGGCCGTACACTTGGATTGAATCTGACGGTCCAAGTGTGGCCTGGGAAAAAAGGAGGCCAGGGCCTGAACCGTTACCTGTACCAGGGCCTGGCCAGGCCGAACCTGGTGTGGTCCTAAAACGGTGCTTTTACTGGCCTGAACCGACGCAGGCCCTGCTTCGGGCCACAGAACTAATGTGCCAGGCCGAATCTAAGTCCCTACCCCTTCCTACCAACCTGACGGATCCTACTGGGCCCGTGTGGGATCTACATATGCCACATATATGCATGATCTCCCCTAGTTCTTTACAGTCTGTGTATAGTACCCCGACGTTTTCATTACTGCATTGTCTAGGCTCAATCCCTTTCTTTCTTTCTTTGTTTTTTTTGTTTTTTTTTGTTTTTGTTTTTGGTAAGACAAAGCCCCTTCTATTCTGGGGGGCATCAGTCCGGTTGCTTATCACTTACCCTTGCGAAGTTGCGATCCTAAGTTTTTTTTTTTTTATAAAGAAAATAGAAAACAAAAAGTGTTCACAGCATACTTCGAAACATCCGTTACAAATGGAATGATACACAGAAGATTAGCATGGGGCCTGTGCAAGGATGACATGCAGAAATCGAGAAACGGTCCATAATGTTCACAGCTGATGCATAATTGTGAGCTTCAGACATGCACACAGCCCCTGCTTCCAGGAATCAAGCATCAAACATGCCTCGTGGTCAACCAAGTGCCTGAACTGATCTTGGCTGAGTGCATGTAAGATGCTCGGCTGAGGCAGGCCAGTTACCATCTCAACGCTGCAAGCAATATAAAGGGCACACACCAAACATGCTCCTGGTATAATGAGCAACAAGCGACTGAACTCACCTTGGCAGAGTGCATGTAAGATGCTCGGCTGAGGCTGGCCAGGTACAATCTCGACGCTGTGAGCGACATAAAGAGCAAGCACCAAACATGCTCCTGGTATAAGGAGCAAGTGACTGAAGCAGGCATATTCTATAGAAGTACTCTCATGATGGCATTTTCTTCACTTTTGCACTGCACCTGCCTATGAAAATGTACGTAAGGACGAAGAGACACTCACCCTTGGGTGAAAAGGCAGGAGTACCATGCATCCGATCATGACTTGGTGCCTGATTTGCAGTATCTGTGCTTTCTTCATTCATTTTTAGTTTAAACTTCAAAACTTCAAAGCAAAAGGGTCACCCTCCTCATAAAGGTCAGAGCAGTATGTCCTTCGGGACATCAGTTAAAATTGGAACAATGCAGAGAAGATTAACATGGCCCCTGCACAGGAATGACACACATAAATCGAGAAATAGTCCAAACGAGAAAAAAAAGCAAAAGATATGAATGAGGCTGTACGCACACTAAAGACCTTTTTGGACTGAATTTGGCTACAACTGCGGCCTGATGCATCCCAAAACGCCAAAGCGTGAGTATGCCCTGAGAGAAAGACTAAGGTATCATCACTGATGGTTGATGACGACTGAGTTCCCATGGCCTTGCTTGCCTGGCCTGGCCTGGCCTTTCACGTTCTGTTTCGTGTGCCTTGTGCTGGCAGTCTCAGTTATTGGGCAAGTGTATGGAGCTGCACGAATGTCAACAAAGGGTGGAGAAGCTGGAAATGGAGCTCAAGGCAGAAGAAGAGAAAGCATATGCAGCGCTGACCGACGCAGACTTCGCATTCGCAGTAGAAAGTTCAAGTATGAAAGCCCAGCTGGCAGAGAAAGAACGAGAGTACCAGCGGATAGTCGAGGCACATGATGCCGTGTGCAAGGAGCTTGAGCAAGCGCTTGCAGAGGGACAAAGAAGTCGCCAAGACCTAGAGGAGAGGATTTTAGAAATGGAGAGGAGGAAAGAGGAGGATATGAGAGAAGCCCGTCTCAAATTTGAAGTTGAAGAAAGGTCAAGTGTGAAAGCCCAGCTGGCA